CACGTTGTTTTTGCTAAAATGGATGGAAAATCTAGACGGGGGCGTCCATGCAGAGAGTGGCTGGATGATATAACCGAATGGTGTCAACGCAGTGGACAAGATCTGTTTCATCTTGCGCAAGGCCGACAGGCGTGGAAAAATCTGATCTCGTAAGTGGTTAGCCCCAACGGGCGCTAAGCCTATGGGACATGATGATGATGATGACATATATATACAATTTATATATTTACAAATATATTTACAAATATGTATATTATAGGGTGTGGGTGTGGGGTGTGTGGGTGCGGGTGCGGAAATCTTCTTCATACACATTCACACCCATATCTACACCACCCACCCACCCAAATTCTCTTTATAAACAAGCATTTTGGTTTTGTATTTCGCTTTGACATGTGCTATTTTTACAAGAAGTCAAAATCTACATATGTGTATGTTGTATTCTGGTGATTGTAAAAGAGCAACATCACATAAAATGGGTGTTTGTTAATATGCGAAATAGGAATTTAGTTTATTTTTTTAATGGGAAATTGTCGTTCTTGTATGAATTAGATCGATTTAGCCAAAACCACGCTCAATGAGTTCGTTACGCATCTGAAGTCCAGCACAGCAAGGACACCAGCAAATAGTGCAACAGTCATTGCAAGAATCACCCTGATGAATAGAAAACAGTCATTCAAGTATATTCTAGCTTTGTCTAACGTAACTCACTTTGATTCGTAAAGTAGATCGAACTTTCATGCGATATACAGCCAATGCATTGGGAACACACCAGCATGATATACATGATTCGTCAATTTTGCCTGCTAGCGATATTACAAAACAAGGCCAACAAAAATATGCGTAGCAGCCTAAAAATATGTCAAAAGAAAGAATAATAGATTACCCATACACCGATTATCTTACATTGTGTCACATCATTACAACAACTGCACAAGCCTACTCTCCAATCATCAGCGAATTGATGGAATGGATTGATGACAACCGGCTGCGCAGTGACAAAGACAGGCTGATGACCGAATTGCGCCATGGAGTTGAAGATATGTTAGACTGAAGCAGATGAGTGTAGAGTGGCAAACAGATTTTTAAAGCATCGTTTATTTTATGAACTATTTTGCTCAAAAGGATTTATTGCAGACATCGAAATAGTGGCTTCAATAGTAAATGAGGAGCTTTATTTAACATATCGTAAAACAGGATTTTATCGATAAATTATGACGACAAGGTTTCTAAAACACTGAAATCCGTATTTTTCAGATTCTTGAAATCTTTGTAGAAGTCGTTTCTTCAAAATGACATATTTTTAGGCTGCTACGCATATTTTTTGTTGGCCTTGTTTTG